AGCATTCTTCAATGAGAACACTGCAAACTAAACAAATCCTGGCTTGGAGCACACTGCCTGCTCCTCCTGCACGTTCTCATCCTAATGAAAACCTGCAGATAGAGAACAAGTAGTCCAGAGGGCAGATTAAGAGTTCATTCCTTTCTGAACACAACCAGAAGTGAAGGAGAATCAAGGGAAAACCCTTAACTTTTTGAACAAAATCTCAAAGAATTATAGGAAAAAAAATAGAAGTAGGCTTCACAACCAGTTCTAAGAGCAGTTAATAACCTGCCCCATCAGAAATGAATGGCTCAAGTATCTAACCATATGGGCAAGACATCAAATTCTGACATCTTAATCAGCTATAAACAACTTGCTGAAAATAGGGCAATAATTGTTTGTGGCAGTCTACTTTTTTAGAAATAATGGGAAGAAGTGAGATATCTCTGCTGGAAGTGGGAGAAAGGTAGGTATGTCATTTCTTGTGGTCATTTCAACCACGAATTCTGCTCAGTGGGCAGCTGACAAAGAGCACAGGCAACCTAGAAATAGTAGCACGATATTTGGGGCTTGGAGTAGTGAAGGAGGCAGTAAAATTAATCAGCATGGGTTATGGGCATAGACTTAATTAACATTTGTGTTTCTTTGAATGGACTGTGTCACCAGTCATAACTTAATGCAAATGTATAGCATTTTATGCCAGTTTTAACTATACTAGTTTTTTTTTTTTTTTTTGTTATAATATGTACGCAAGCATGTTGACTCAGACTCCTTAAAGGCGTATCTGGTACCAGCACATTTATCAATGTAACTAACAAGAGATGAGATGAACCAATTTCTCTGAGCTGAAAAACAGTTACTGAAAAGGTCCATATACTAGAAAAACACTGGGGCTGGGCTTGCTAGGGACACTAAGCTCCATCTCCAAACTGAAGGGAGAATTGAGATAATTTCATTGCTTCAAGAAAGGAATTCATCTCCCTCCTGGGCTGCTGTCTTTGGTAGCCCTGTCTTCCTTGGTACTTGTAAAAAAGAGCTTCTGAAGAACAGCTTTTTGCCTTAGGAATGCATGCATCAGATGTGTCCTAAAGCAGATATTCCAACCCTCTAAATACAGTCCAGCCTCTTTCACATACCAGTGCTCTCTTCCAGTTATATTACTTCAGAAGCAGCACAGTCGGCAAGAAAGGGTGGTCTAGCAAATGCCCTTCATATTAGATTTTCCCCAGTTATGATGATAAGAAAATGATTTTTTAATTCAGAAAACAGGCTCTCCTATGCCTCAGTGTCATGCATTCTGGTATATGAGCTTTATCACTCAAAAATAAGAAGGGCAAGAAATATTTATGCAGTGACCCTTTTAGTCAAAGCCTGTCGCAGAGTCTAAACATGTGTAACAAAGACAATATAGATGATGCAACATTAAAACAGTTTTTCTCCTTATCACAAATAGGCATCGGAGAGTTGAGAGATGCTCCCTGTAGGGTGGGAAACAAGCCTATTAACCAGCAGAATCCAGGGACGGTGGAAAAAGGCAGAATACACAAAGAATGCAGTACTGTACGTGGCTTTTAAGAGGCAAGGCATGGGGTAAATCAATATTTTAAAAGCCAAAATCCTGAATCATATAAATGGCAATTTTCTAGTCCCTAGATGTATTTTTATATAGAGAGAAAAGGAAAAATATGTATAAAGAAAAGGAGACAGTTTCCAGTTCTCCACAGACATACAAGTTGACCAGCAACCAACCAGCTCAGCTGCAGAAAGACACATACTGCAGAATACCTATACCCAAATTTACTAGTGCTTGAAAAACATAAATAAGAGCATTTGGAGATAAGGAACGTATTTTAAAAGACGAGACTAGATAAAAACAATGAGTAATGTGTACAAAAAAGGTGTGCTTAGCTCTCCTAAATGGGGACAATTTTTATCTATGACACTGCAGAATGTTAGAGGAAAGGAAAATTAATGGAAACCCCCCATCTAAAAACCTCTGCTATTGTCCCATGAAGTCCCATAGACTGTTGCTGCTGGTGTATTTCAAGGGAACCTGCATTTCCAGTTTTTCAATCATTAATTCTCCTACCACACCCCAATTTAAAGATCCATACCCAATTTATCCAAATGTATATAAGACTTATATGAAAACAAATTCCCAGGTTCCTGCTAACAATTAAGGGATGTGACAGAGTAGACTAAACTGTAGGCAATCCAGTGTCTCTTGGGAATTTCAGTCCTGTCCATTCTAGACCAACTACTTGCCAGACAGCTGTCCTGAGCCACAGAGGGTGCCTGCAGACATGCAGGGACACTGTTCCAATGCACCGTAATTACAGCACATTGGAGCAGACTTGATTCAGAGAGTCTGCTGAGGCGTGCTAACGAGCATGCTAATGATTCGGCATCACATCTTGTGTATTTTGTATCCCCACACTTCAAAATGACAGTGAGGGTGCTTTAACTAAAGCTCACCAAACGAGCTTTAGTTAAAGTGCCCCTGCCTCCATTTTGAAGAGCACGATGCTGAATACACAAGACACGGTGGGCACTTCATTTAGAGCAGCTCTCGGAGCCATTCTAATTAAAGCCCTGCCCCCCAGAGCACGTGTAAAGATGTCCCAAGAGAGTTTACATCTGACTCTGGGTACCTTGGAAATGCAAGGCAGGATAAATTATAGCTGAAAAAGGGCAGATATGGATGGGCATTTGCCTAACATTGAAGCAGAGAAGAATTCTGCTAATGTCTAAAAAGCTATAATCATGCATTAGAGCAAAGCAAATTTATAGGTGAGTAAAACCATAAACATTAATCTATACTCAGTACATGCTATTGGGTATAAATTACCATGTCTACCACACCCATCATGCTGGCCTATTGTTTACCTCTTGTGCAACCAACCTACTTGGTTCACATCTCTTTCATCCAACAAACAGGCTACAAAATGCACACAGCCAGTGTTAACTGAAGCATGCAGTGAAGAAATCGAATAATGGGGAGGAGTATAAAAGAACAAGCTAAGCCATTGTGTGATGACACATATGACACATCTTCCAACTGAAGCCAGAAGCAAATGCCCAAGCAAAAGTATTCCTTCTGGAACTGCTCATGAAGTATGATTTTTATCTCATTTCTTCCACTCTAATTCCTGCTATATACAAGCAAATGCAGAAATATCTGCAGTTAGACATGCTCTGTGAATGTGAAGTTTCATTTATAAAAGATCATCCAGCCCCTTTTTTTAAATGATGGCAGTACCTCTTCAGTTCTTGTGCTAACTTCATATTTTATTCATTACGGAATGGTTTTGGTGAGATTTAAACAGCCCAAACCTTCAACTGTTCATGAAAAAATAATCAAGAGATTCAGTCAAACAAAGGGAAAGAATTATTTTGACACAGGATATTTACTTGAACAGCTGGATTTTATAGTTTAGAGAGTAGTGTGTGGTAGCAGGCATTCTAAAATAAACCCAACCAATAGCAGTTCATTTTATTATTAATACTTATCCCATAGGCTTTTAATCCATGTATCATGGCAGGTAAAATACAGAGAATAGCATAAGAGACTTGAACTCCCAGTCTATTCCCTTCCCTCTTTTTAGTGTGCCCTGTGCTCCCAAGTGCATTCAGTTCAGATGGATTCTTTCCCCACCCTGCTTTGGTGTCAGGATGATGGTCACTGAACATCCAAAAGAGATAGGTTCCCTACACTCAGTCCTGGATGACTATCCTCTGCCCAGCTCAGAGTGGCTGGGAGCAGCTATTCCAGTGAAAGCCTATTTGGAACACCATAACTGCCAGCTGAAGCATGCTGGTTTGCACCATGGTGTCCAGTTCGGCCAGCATTAGATGCTGATAAAAGTTGATTCCAGTTGTTAACATAGCAAGGCTCTGAGCCTGTGCAAACTCATTTCTCTAAGGCTTAAGTTACTTGGCCAAATTTCAGACAGATTTTCATGAGGATGGCAAGGTTCCCTGACACAAACATTACTTCTCTGCCAGAGTTCAAGCAGCAGCTCCAAAGCTTGGAGGTACTACAGCATTTCAAAGGAAACGTCCAAAGATTATTTAATGTGGCCAAAAATATGACGGCTTCCCTAGCCGTGTTCTCAGACATGTCTGAACACTTGGGCTGAATTTTTTTTTTCAAAAGTACTATTTGAAGCAGACACATGGCATGATTAAAGAGTTTGGCTAAAGTTACCAGCAACTCTTGTAATGGGAAGTTTTTGACAACTCCAGGAGACCTGGCTGCCAGCTCCAGCTCCAGCTCTAGCTCCAGCTCCGGCTCCAAGGTACAGGACAAAATGGAACTTGAAGGGATTAATAACGCTTTAGTATTGAGAGCCTTCGAAATTCAAGCCTTTAGAAAAAATAGAGCATGCATTGTGCCGGTATAAGTGACCCACCCCTCACAATTCAGAGCTGAAGTTAAAACCACCAGACTTGTTATACTGGCAACTTGATAGTCAATTAGGCTGCATGACTGAATCAACATCAGATATGAAATACTTCCAGTTAGCAGCAAGGAGGTCTGATTAAGGGCAATTTGACACACTCCAGGGACTCTTCTACATCAGGGAAATTTAGCATAACTGCTGTAATTGTTTCAGCTGCAAATGAACAGGATAGGCAAAATACTGGTTGGCATCACTACTTTAAAATCACTGTGTAGACATGCACTAAAGCCGGGTTATACAACACAGAACTTACAGCAATCCTGGCAGGAGGCTGCACACCCTAACATTGGGGGAATTGATATTTTGCTATATTTTCCTAGTGTAGACAAGGCTTATATTGTCTGCAATTAAAAATAAGCAAGTGAAAAACAGTGAAATGCTCCCTTACTGAAATGGAAAAGTTATATATAACAATTTACAGCGCAGTACTATTTTTTTGGTCATCAAATACAGAACCACTTACAACAAGGCATTTACTTGATTGCTATTTTCAGTAGTGATTCACTCTGACATAAATGTTATGATGCAGTACAGAGGAGAGATTTAGTTTCCTACCTTTCTAGTAAGTGGCACTTCAATAGGGACAGGGACAACCTCCGCCAATAGGCAGCCATAAAATGCTACCATGAAAGCAGCAGGATCATTGTTAGGAAATACGAGTGCTACCTGAAACAAAGAGAGAGCCATTAAACATTTTCTACAATGTAAATGTTATTACATATTTCAGGAACAATAAAAGCAGAGCTTCCCTTTTGCAGAGGTATATTAATATTCAGAGAAGTGTTGGGAACTAGACAACTTTGTTGCATAAGGTTTCTTTATTAGCAGAGGTCCATCTGCATATTTGAGGGAAAGGAATGAGGATTCAGAAGAGTTTGTTTTCACAGATGCTTCTTTTTTGGGCTTTTCCCCTTGGGAAGTGTGTTTATGTTACTTTAAGACATTGTTGCTTTTCAAAATGGTGGCGGATTTCTTCTCTCCTTTGGTTTATTGATGGCTTGACTGATGTTTAATTTTCAAGTCAATGTGATTAATGAAATTGTAGACAGAAACGTTGGCAACCTAATTGTATCAATTTTTAAAGTTACTAAAAATAAAATGGGTTTATGACCATTCGGATTAACCTGACATACTGCACCATTATGCATTATGTCAAGCACTCTGCAGTGTGCTTTGCCTGCCTGTCAGATTCCATAAATTCAACTGCTTGTAGGCTCATTCAGCCTGTAACAATGAGTGGCTTCTGCATAACTGTTGAAGTACAACAGCAACATCTTCATCAGTTCTCTTCAGAAACAGTCCTGCCGCTCAAGGCGAGGAGCTTCCTATCCTTCTTCCAGATTCTGTGAACCAAGCAGATTTAGATCTTGACTTAGCTGGGCAAAACTCTGAGGCAGGCTCAATTGCTTTAGAGAACCATTTGTGTGCTTCCTAGGTAGCCCTCTTTCTTCTGAGATCTACTGAAGAGTTGTCCAGCATATCACTATGTCCATCTGCAGGCAATGGCATTTCATCCATTGGTGAGGGGGAAAGGTGAGAATCAGCTATCTAACAGACAATTCAATGTATTATTATTAGGGACCTACAGAAATTGCGACTGTGTGACTTTTGCAGAAACTGTAATTTTGGGTGGGTACTGCAAAAAAAGTAGGCTCCACATTTTTGGCAGGTTTGCTGTCAAAACAAAAACAAAAAACAAACAAAAAGAACACCTTACCAGCAAGCAAAGACTGGAAAGCCCTGCAGTCTTGCAGCACAGGGGAAGGAGGAGTGGGCAGGACAGGTGGGAGGGTAGAGGGGGGAAGAGGGAGCAGCAGGAGGCACAGAGCCTGCCGCCACACCTCCTCAACAGCCCTGTCCTGCCATTTTCCCTCCTCTACCTTCCCCTAAGACTGCCTGGCTTTCTGGCCTGTTCTCTGCTTGCCATTAAGTTTTTTTTCCCTTTTTTTTGCAGCAAGCCCTCCAAAAACACAGAGCCTGCTGCTCGGGGATGGTCCAAAACTGTAGCTTAATTACCCCGATTAAGCTGAGGTTTTGAGCCATGTGGCAATCTGTGGGAAAGAGTGGGACTGCTACGGCACCTCACCCACAAGCATGGCAGAGCCCCACCACGCTCAGCCTGTGAAAATGGTGACCAGCCCTGGGATCTGCCCATGAAATTGGCAGCCGCGTCTCAAGTTCGGTAGACTCCTAATTATTATGGATCTCACAGTTCTTTTTGCAAGAGTAAGGACACTGATGTAGCCTCCATGTTAACTTCTAACTTAAGTAATTAAGGTCTGCCTACATGTCTGTTTCAGTTTACTCGGAGGTGTTTTTCATTACTTTCATGACCTGAACAAGTGAGAAATACTGCTGGTAACTTAGTTACAGGGCTAAGTAAGATGCTACAAATGCACATACATATTAGTGAAGACCCAATGGGTTAGAGCATATTAAAATTCACTGAATTCTTTACTGAGTTTAACTGTGATATTCTAATACCTACCAGAGCCACACATCTCAGCCGTTGTGATGATGACTATTATTTCAACCTCCCTTAGGTTCAAAGGCTCTGCTAACTTTATATTTCAAGTGTTTTCAGGATTTCTATGACCTCAGTGAGATGGACTTTTCAGAATTTCAAGCTGTTGAGCATCTTTAGACAAAAAAGCAGGGAAGCAACCAAGCATGTCCAACCAGGACCGAAAGGTCTCTGCTATTAAACTGCTCTGCTCTGTGTAACTTCATATGTTACTTGTTTATTTTTAGACCAAAGTAAGAGACAGCTTTTAAAAGGTACGTAATACCTAAACCAAATGTAGCACAACTGAAATGATTAAAACTGATTTGTTGCTAAACTGAGAAATAATGAGTTATTAAATTCACATACCTAGAAAGTCTCTAAGAAAAGCTACTGTTTAATTTGAGACTACTTTAGAGAGTAGCTAAGGACAGGTTAAGGAAATGTGTAATCTTACTATTTCTTAAGTGATTTTTCCTATTGATTGGCTGCACTACTTTTCTTTCCTTCCTAACCTTACCTTTTTTGTGTTTCCAAGCTTGAACTACGAAAACAGACTAACCAATTTCACTTGGAAATTCTTGTGCACTGCCAGCTGAGGATTGTAGCAATAACCTCAGTGAAAAATAAAGTGGACCTTTAGGACTTTGGATGAAAGTTACTGGATCAGTTTCCATTGATCTTATTTCATAAGCCATCTAGCACAACACTTTAATTTTAGAGACATTGGAGTGCTTTTATAAAAGTCTTTTTACAGCTTCTAAAATGAGTCTCCGTCCTGAAGAAGTTACAATCTAGAAAGACAACATGATGACAAAGGGGTGGAAGGGAGGATGCTACTTTCTTCTGTTAAATGGTTTAATGAAGTCATTGAAGATGTTGATTTATTCAGGTGAAGTTGGGTACAAACCCTGGGAGTACATCAGTGCCCAGGAAGCTAATAATGAAGGCAGAGTAGATTCTGCCTGTAAATTTTGTCAAAGAGCTTAAGGGAGTTTGGTGAGTAACTCGTACTAAGATCCAATGGGAAGTGAGGCCTCTCTACGCTAAAGGAACTGTACCAAAAATAAAGAATAAGACAGGAGAAAAACAAAATATATGTGTATTATGTGTAATAACAAACCAAACATTTGGATAAGTAGTAGGTATCTGACAGAACTCTGTTTAATTTCCACTGAACACAAACAGTGGGTAAGGGTGACGGAGGGTCAACTCTGTAATGAGTATTTCAGGCAAGCGTTGCTTCACTGTAACTAACCTAGAAATACACATGTATGTGCAAGCACACACACACGCTTGCCAGTTATCTGTGGGCTCAAAAGAAACTGAGAAGCGAGGTAGCAGAACTTTGTTAATAAGGAAAACAAGCGACTGTATAGTTAAAAGAGTCACCTAAAGGAGACGAGGCCTTTCCAAGTTTTCTATATAAATACCATATGGAAATATTTCACTTTCATTTAGAAAAGATTACAAGTATCCACCTGTATTTAATTTAGTGCTATAAACACACTCTCATCTGTTGTTGCATGATTTGTATTATTTGGAAAAGAGCTTTTTTTCAAAGAGGTCAGAAGGCTTTTATGTCATTGCAAAGGGAAAAGTAAACAGAACAAATGCTCAAACATCAGGAGTATAATAGTACCTCATCTTCAACATGGAGTGGCTTTAAATTATCATGTTTCTGATACACAAAGATGCAAAGCAAGGTATTTATACAATGCAAAGCATATGCTTTCACTATTTAGCTATAAACATCTTACTTCACTATAATCTAGACAGACTTATTTTAGAAGAGCTGCAATTTGTTCAAATGATGGGAAGTCTGTACTTGCCTTACTCTTGCTAAACATTCAGTTCTGTCTGAATCACCCACAAATTCTTCTGTAGTGTTAGGAAATGTCAAGGGTCACTGTGCAGTAAACTGATACAAAGATGGTTGGTCAACATATGATATATAGATGCAGCCTTTTATTCGCAGGTTTCTTTGTAGGTTTATACGTGAGTGCACAGTGTCCCTCCTGCTGTTCCTTAAGCATATAGATGTAAATCAAATAACAGAGATTTTTCAGATTACTCTTGGCTAAATGCCACTGTGGGGAGTGATTTAAATTAAACACCAAGAGACTTCTTAGTTTAATTTTTTATGATTTATTTCTGAAAGAAGCATAGGAAACACGGTGCTTCTAGTCTTTTTTTGTTTAAATCCTTTTTCTTTTGGGAAGCATTTATTTAAATCCCCACCCTGCAGAAAATACCATGTACATGTATGCATACATTTTTTGCTTATGGTTCAAAGGCAATACATTTGAGATCAGTGACTAAGTTTTGCAAAGGTCAGTTATGGGAGGCTTTATGGACAGTGGATGCACTTGTCTTTTTGGAGGATACACTTGAATGAATAAAGTTACAGGAATGCAGAGCTTCCAATTCCAACTTCTGTATCTTCCTATAGCTACAAAGCAATTGTCTTTCAAAACCCTAAGGGGCAGCAGGGCTTGTATTAACATGCTCACATTACACAGGGCAGACACCAAGTTATCTGCATTAGGAGAACAGCCATGTTTAAAAGTCTACCCTGATCTCTTCTCAACCTGAAAGAGAGCACTGAAGACTGGTTTCACCAAAGCGGTCCATGCCAGCTTAGATCAACAGCCATTTTAACTGATATTAAACATGCTTTTCTGCAACTGTCATTCTCTCATCCAGACTAGAAAATGTCTGACAGTTGGAAACAGAGGAGATGGGGATGTTTACTACGGCTGTGCAAAACTTTGGTCCCTGATTCAGTTTGGTGGAGACTTGGCCCAATCTCTGAATCTGAATCAAATCAGAGGACCCTTTAATCACTCCGTATCAAATCAGAACCCTCCAAATCGATTTGGAGAGATTCAGAAAGATTTGGAGATTCAGACATAGACACAGCTTTAAATGTTTTTTCTGCGTACCTCTAGGTACCAGGCGGCTCGTGAATGCTGAGATGCTGAGGTGCATGGATCATCCCACAGGAGTGTGGGGGGCTCCCCAGCGTGCTCGGCAGCAGACCCGGAAGCGGACCACAAGCACTTTTGGGTCTCCTGGGTCTGGGGGGGCACCTGGGTTCCCCCCTGTGGCC